TTAAGAAATTTGAGTATTAGAGACAAAAATCATTCCTAAACTATAGTAAAACTATTCAGATATTAGTTCTGTAATTGTTCTATAACTTAGCAGATATCCTGGGTAAATGATGAAATCTTTCTGAATTCGTTACTTAAAAATGGGGAAAATAAGTCATTGTAGATCTACTACTAAACAAGCAAACAAGTCCATAAAGCACTGAGTATAGTGCCTAGCACAAGGTTATGCTGAGTAAATGATGGGGGTTATCATCACTACTTCACTTGTTTAAGTTCTGGGTCAGGTGCTGACTTTAACCTTGGGTTCCCCTACGACCATCTTGCTTTATACATAAGGCTTGAGGAGATAGCCCTTTCCTCACCATTCGATACCATCTTCTAAAAATTGCCTTCGTGGTTACTTCCCCATACATTCATTGATAAATATTCCTGAGGAAATTGTTCTGTGTGGATTGGGAACCTCCCCACTCCTGATTGGGTGGGGGAACTAGAGGCCTTTCTTGCCAGGTCTTTAATAACTCCAAACATAGTTGCCCTTCAATAAATAGTGATAATTGAATTCATCCACTAAGCAGGTCAGTCATAGTGGATATATTCTGATGTCCTGTGCTTTCTTTTCAAAGCCTACGACTAGAGATGTAAGCCTTGAGATACCATTAAGCAATTTGCTGTTTTCACAAAGGCAATAGACTATGGAGAGATAGACACAAAGTCACAGGTTTGTTGCATTTGCTTACTCAACAAATATTTATGAAATAACTGTGTGGTAGGGACTATTTCAGTGAGACAGAAATAGTAATGACTTGTCAATGTACTAGGTCTTATTTTGGTCGATGTGTCTCCAATAATTTTTATGAAAGTAGTACATTTATTATCATCCTAAATTTACAGTGAGGAAATGAGGTGTTAAGCCTTCCTTTAAGTCTTTCCTTAAGGATTAGTCCCATCCAGCAAATAAGTGGCAACACTGAGATTTGAAATCAAATTTCTGACACCATATTCTGACTCTTAACTTTCTCCTGTATGTATAAAATAGAAATTTTATTTTTTACCTTATCATTCAACTGCAAGTAGAATCAACAATCAATCATATGTCTTTTGAAAATATATTTTTCAAAATCATGAGGCTATTCATCAAATAATATTTAACAGTGGACCTTAGTATTGGTAATACTACTATGAGTTGCCAAAAAGGAAAACATTATTATACTGTACTTCATATCATTTCACACTGTTCTATTGAAGAATGATGATGTGGCTGGATTTGCTTTCTGCAAATTTGTAACTACTAGTTAATATGCACACTCAACAGTTTTTTATTTCAATGTTGTGAGTATTGTTTGGAAAATTAATCTGAATGGAATAAAAATGATATATAACATTCCAATAGAGATTTAAGTTGAACCATATAAAATTACTCTTTTGCAAATACAAATGATTAGCTATCTCCAATTTTATATAGTTCAACTTAAGTCTATTATTCCATATGCCTGAATTCATCAGTAACTAGAGAGTAAGCTTCACTAAAGGCAGGCATTTGGGGGATGGTTACTAGTATGTACACGGGAAGCCCTCAGAAATGGCTGCTGAGTGAATTAGGAAAACTAGTAAAATATCACCACTTTCTATCCTAACACATTATGACTTTATATCAAGGTTTATAGTAGAATTAAGAAAGATAATATGATATGCATAAGCTGGTCTCTTAAAACAAACAAACAAAAAACAAACAAACAAAAAAACATTTTGAGGCCCTCCCTGGTGGCCTCAGGTTTAAGTCTCAGTACTATCATGTGACAGCCTGAATTTGATCCCCAGCCAGGGAGGTGACCACATATGGCACAGCAGACCTTGCCTGTCTCTCCCACTGCTCCCCTTCAGCAGTGTATTCTAGTGGATCTGCCTGTTCTGCTCCCCACTCTGTCTCTGGTGAATCCTCTCACCTCCCGTGCCTCCTTGGGGCTACATAAAACTAAAAAGCATCTGCAAAGCAGAAGACACCATAACTAAAATGAAGAGAGACTCGGCTAAGTGGGAGAAAATAGTGGCATGCCATATATCTTGACAAGGGGCTGATATCAAAGTTCTAAAAAGAGCTCATACAACTCAACAAAAAGAAAAAAAAAACCAACAACAAAAATAAGGGCAGAAGAGCTAAACAGGCTCTTCTCCAAAGAAGACATACAGATGATCAAGGCACTTAAAAAATGTTTACCATCAATACCTTCAAGGAAATGCAAATTAAAATGAGATACCATCTCACACCTGTGAGAATGACCTGTGTCAAAAATGACTAGAAACAAGAAGTGCTGGTGAAGGTGTGGAGAAAAAAGATCTCTCTTAGGCCCTCCCTGGTGGCGCAGCTGGTTAAAGCACAGCACTGAGAATCTAAAGCCGCTTCCGCATGAGTTCGATTCCTGCCTGCCCTGGAGGTGACCACATGGCGTGGCAGACCTCTCCTGACCCGCCCGCCGCTCCCCTCAGCAGTGTACTTCATCGGTCTGCCTGTTCTGCTCCCCACTCTGTCTCCGGTGAAGCCTCTTACCACCCTGAGTCTCTGGCCTGCACCCCAGTTCTGTATGCACAAATAAATAAATCTTTAAAAAAAAAAATCTCTCTTATACTGTTGGTGATAATGCAGACTGGTCCAGCTGCCCTTGGAAAATTGGTAGGGAGTTTTCTCAAAAGACTAAAAATGGACCAGCCATACCAGCCAGTAATTCCAATCCCAGGTATCTATCTGAAGAATACAAAAATCAAATTAGAAAGGAAACTTGCATTCCCATATTTAGTGAGGCACTATTTACAATAGCCAGGCTATGGAAACAATTTAAGTGCCCTACCACAGAGAAGTGGTAAGTAAATACAATGGTTATAAGTATATACAATGGAATACTGCTCAATGATGAAAAAAGATAAACTTGTGTCATTTGTGGCAATAAGGATGGAGCTGGAAGGGATTATGCTAAGCAAAATAAGCCAGAAAGAGAAAGATATTACTGAAGGATGTCACTGATATGCAGAATATAGAGAAACCAAACAAAGGCTCAGATAAAGTCAAATTTGAAAAGTAACCTGGAAAAGCTGACCATAGAATTTGGGCATCAGATAGGGAAAGGAAGAAGGTGGGGAAGAGGTAAGCGCAGAGAAGGGAAGCACATTGGTCTGTGGTAGAGGGCTGTCTACTGATGAACAGGTGCCTTTGTGGTCTGCTTGTGGTGTGCTTGTTGCCTTCTCTCTGAAGGGGGAGATCCTATACTTCCAAAATAGTAAGGATGAGGTTAACCAATGGTACTTCCCCTAAAAAAAAATCACTAAATTGTATGTACAATTTAAAATTAAGTGACATGTGAAATATCATTTTTTAAAAAAGTCAAACTCAACTTCTCTTCAGAACATGTAAAAATACACTATAAAATAATAGACATGTGTTTATAAATCTGAGGGTATTAGGAAATGTTCCCTTGTTTAATTATAAACCAAATGGAATGTTTGGGGATTTTAGTAATCTGACATTGAACATTAAGAGGATTAACCTGATTTCCTGAGTGTTAACAACACCAATTTAAACTGCATCACTCAAAAAATGACACAGCCATACTAAAATAATTGTACCAATGACTTCATGAAGAATACCAATTAAATTAATTACCTGTTAAGGCTGTCATTATTTAAAGTACCTATCTATAATGTTTTACTTCCTTAACTGTTGAATAGTGCGTCAAGATCTAATGTATAAGTCACACTTTTAACTACTTAAAGGCGGAGAAGTGGGTGGGATTTTTGTAAGAAATGTATCAATAATGCTTACATTCCAGATTGGAACACAGAGTTGAAGCAGGATTTAAGCCTAAATTCTAGCCTTCAACACAGATAGTTAAACTGCCAGAACTAATACTGCCATTCTGGAGTAGTACAAGCTAAATAATATATTGAAATACAACATACACATATAAAAGTGTACACTTCTTTAGGTACAGGCTGAATTTTCCTAAGTAAACAGTTCTTTGGAACCAGCCCCCAGGTCAAAATACACAGCATACAGAATTAGGGTTTTGGTATTTTCCCCCCCTAAGTCAAAGAAAATATTAAAGTGGTTTAAACCTTCCCATTCTCCCTCCCCCACCCCCAAAAGCTAACTCTCCAGCTTATCATTGTTAAATGTGGAGAGGTGGGACAAAGGCCCCGAAAAAGTGTATGTACGGGACTGTGCACTTAATTTTGATGGCAAATGTACCGAAACCGGTATTACAATACTTCATCTTCATTTAACAAATCTGAGTAATGAAATGTTTTATTTTCCCTAGCTCCACAGTTCCTAAATTGACGCAAGACTTAAAAATCTCCCGCACCTGGAAGTTTTATTCCACCAAAACTTCAACCAAATTTTAGGTATAGTTAAATGTTCTGTGAGCACGTGTCTTTCCTGCCAAACGGCTGAATACCCCGGGGTCCCCTTGGGGGGAACAGTCTCTGCAGACCGCAGTTGGCCTCTCCAGGCCAAGCACTTCGCGCGTCTACCAGAAGCCTGCGGACCTCCGAGAGCGCCCCAGGGAGCCCAGGCCCGCCGCCCGCCTTCGAGAAGCCCCAGTCCCTCCGCGGCGGCGGCGGCGGGCCCCCCACCTCCCATCCGAGCGCCGCGCGGTTCCTTTAACTTGGCGGGCTCCGGAGTGTGCAGAGATCGCCTGGTTCCTCCCGCCTCCTTCTCCACCCCTCCCTCCTCCTCCCACCCGAGTTTCAGGTGAATGGGTCACTGAGGGAGGAGGTAGCCACACCACACCCTCTGCCAGCGTCCCCCTCATTCATCTTCCTTCCTCGGGTAGAGGCGGCGGGACTCGCGGGAGAGCGGGCCTGAGCGCCTAAGGGCCAGAGCGGGGCGCAGCAGGTGGGACTGGCGGTCGCCGAGCCCAGGACTCCCGCACGGCGGCCGGGCGTTGGTGCGCATGCCCGGGGGCTGGGCAGGTGGGTGGGGCGGGGCGGAGGGCTGCGCCCCTGTCGGGTCCCGAGTGGCAGCCCGCGGCCGGCGCGGCGTCAGGTGCGCCCGCCAGGTGAGCGCGCTCCTGGCATCTCGCCGTCCGCGCTGAGTCGGGCCCAGCTGCAGGGAGTAGGTGAGCCGTGGGCGCGGCGCCCGGGGCGCGTGGTAGCCCCAGTGTTGGCGGGGAGACAGCGCGCCCCGGTCGGCTGTGGAGGCGCGGGGAGAGGCCGTCCGGCGCGGGTTTCGGTGGCGGTTTCGCCTGTGGGCAGGGACTGTCGGGGGGCAGAGAGATTCGGGTTCGCGGAGAGAGAAGGGCTGGAGGCCGGGGAGGGCCTCTCCCGGTGAGGTGTCACTTGGACTTCACGATCGGCTCTTTCGGCGAAGAAGCGTAAAGTCCCCAGCCTGGCGGCGCCCGCAACTTTTCGTGTTTGAGGCAAAGTGTCGGGAACCTGCGCTCAGTTCTCCGGCTGAAGTTCTGGGGTCCTCAAAGAAAGGGGCTCAGCTGTCGCCTCCATAGGGCTTCTGAGCCCGAGGACTGGAGGGAGGGGGCCTCGCCGGCCCGGGAGCAGCTTAGATCCTGGAGACCTCGTCGTTCCGATCCCCACCCACCCACCCCTTTGGGTATCCTGGGGTGGGGTGTCGGGTGTAATCCGTGAAATATTCCTGCATTTGCTGTATCTGCTTTGAATCCACTTTGTGGGAGCCCGCGTCGACTTAAGCTGGGGGGCGGGAAGCGCATTTCCACTGAAGCTGTACTTCGAGGGAAGCTCCTCGCGCTGCGGATTCTCACCCGTGACCAGAGGCCGCCGCCAGGTGGGCAGACCTGCCTGCGGGCGTCCCTGCTGGGCGGGCGCGCCCTTGGGTTGCTCCAGGGCGCGGTGGGGGCGCACGGGTGCCGGGAACGCCATCCGGCGGGGCCGCGTTGTTTTGAGGCTTCCAGGGAAGAGAGGTCACAGCCTGCCGACATGTTGCCTGCGTCGGAGGAAGTGTGCGGGAGAGGTGGGTTGAGGGGCCAAAATGGCCTCTGCATCATGCTGCTGGAAGGACAGTTCGAGCCCCTCGAGTCCCAGGTGGAGCGAGTGAGCCCGAGCCGAAGGCCGTCCTGGCGCGCCGGGCAAAGTGCCCACCTGGGAAATGACCCGGGGCAGGGAGGAGTCAGCCTTCAGCCTAGCGTGTGGCTCCCACGCACAACAAGTGTATTATTGGGATCCCTGGAAAAAAGAAACCCTTTCTATGAAGGCACTAAGGCGACTCATACTGTGAGTGAAAACGAGTTCTTTCTGGATGGAGGTAGAGTTCTCAAACTCCGCATTGCTGAGCGCAGTAGTAGTTCTTTTGTACTGTACGCAAGGAACCTATTTTCCTTACGGGTGTTTTAAAATAGACATTTTCATGGTAGAGGCTCAGAATAAACAATACTTTTGCTTTTTAGAGTTTTTCACTTATTTAATTAGTGGGTGGTGCCTCCTTTGTGAGGAGATGGAGAGAAAGAAAAGTTGGGAGATTTGGAGAGCTTCCAGGCTGTTCAGGGAAACGGTGGGCAGTACTTCGTGTGTGGATCACTCTGCCGCTCAAGCTTAAAGGTAGATCTTTCTAGTACTCCCATTTAAAAGGTGAGCAAATCCGTGCAGCCGAAACGTTACAAGTGACTGACTTGAGAACTATTTCAGCTAGTGAAGAGCAGGTATTTTTATAAAGCCATCTAGCTGTTCTTGCTATTTTTAGCAACAGAACCAGATTTGGGGAATTTTCCTGGAATTCACTACTTTTCACTAGTCCCTATTAAGTGTCCAGTGAGTTTTCTGCATCTTGCTTAATGTAAAGATAAAATTCTACCTGTTTTCTTCCAAATGTAGTATTGGAATTACTGCCCTTTCAAGGGAATGGTATACACCGTATAAACCACATACATTAGCTAACACTGACAATCTTTCACTTTCCCAGAAACATTGCAGAGGGAGTTTCTTCAGTTGCATTTCAAGGTTTACTCAGAATATTTAGTACCTTTTTTCAGCCACATTATTATTTACGAAATTATTAGAATAAAAAGACCATGCAGGCACTGGTTTTGCCTTTTGTTTTAGCCTGGGTGCTTGCGGCTGTTCTGTGATGCAGTGCTTTCCTGTGTTGAGTGTGGTATGAATCAGCTGGGGAGCTTAGTAAAATGCAGATTCTGATTCTTAAGGGGGTGGGGGGCCGAAATTCTGCCTTTTTATCAAGCTCCCTGGTGATGTCCTTAGGTTTGTCTTTATCCCTCCCCTTCCCCCTTTGTTTTCTTTCTTCCTGTCTCTGAGACTGTGTGAGCTCTTAAGTACTTCCATTGTACTCAGCTTGAGGGATTGTAGTTGCTGGTTAGCTGTCTGAAGAACTTCAAGGCATTCACTGCTGAATTGAAATCCCAAATCTAATGTGGGTTGTTGAGTGTATGAATCAAATATTTGTACCAGATACTAGTTCTAGGGATCGGAAATGTTTAAAAGTGATGGTCTAGACAGACATCTAAATGCTTGGGAAGCTGATAGTCCACTTGGGATAGGATGGTGGCAGGAAAATAGGTTCGGTGTATAGAGTATGCCGAGAGGAGAGAGGGGTGCAGCTCTGAGGAGATAACATTTGAGCTGACACCTGAGTGGCAGTCATCTGCCCTATAAAGACCAAATCCCACCTTAGAGTGATGCCTTTATTTGTTACCAGAATCATCTGGAGAGCTTATTGAAAATGCAGTCTCACACAGGGAACTAGTCTATTTCAAACTCTACCTAATTTTTAAATTTTAGGCAACTTACTAACAGTGTACCTATAAACTAAATAGACTCAATAATATCAGGCATAACTTTAAAAACTTCTTAAAGGCAAGTTAAGTATTATTGCATGTGATCAAAGGAACAACCTGTTCTTAAATACAATTTGTTTTAAAGAATTTTGGGACATAGCATTTTCAGGCTTTTCTTTCTCAGCCTAGCTAGGTTTTCTAGTAAGACAGTTTTTGAACAGAAAACAATTTTAAGGGAGAGCTTTTTTAAAAAATACTTAAACACTAGCTGTCTCTTGGCTTAACATAGTCAGCAAGACTCTTCTCCTTCCCCTTTGCACCTGGCTCTTACTAGATGTTTGATTTTATGTCATGATACAGGTTCTATGAAGACGACCAGGAGCTCTTTAGGCAAAACCTGTGTTTTTTTTTCCACATTTTCTTTATTCCTTCACTCAGCATATACTTATTGACCAGAGACTGTTAATGTTGCTGTGCAAGGCTTTGGGCAGTAGTTTGTTCTTGGTTTTCTTTCTTTTTTGGCCATGGTCTTAAGGCACAGTCACGTATTACCTTGAGAGAGACATTAGAGGTAATTCTTCTAGTCCAGGCCCCCTAAAATATAAAACAACTTAGGTTTTGCATAAATGGCATGAGATCAAATTGTTATTCACTATTTTTGGAGGGTGTGTACATCAGAGTCAGGGAGAGACTTCCTAACATTGAGTTGAAATCTGACGCAGTGTTGTTTAGTTTATTTTTTTAAAAGGACTACAAACACGTTACAGCTATTTGAAGGCTGCCATACTGGTCCATCTAATGCTGAATCTCCAGGCCAACCATTTCCTGTTATTCCAGTCATTTCTCTTAAGAAATGGTTTTTCTAGCTTCTTCACAATTTAAGCAAACTCCCAGAGAGGCACCTATTGGGAAGTGATATACAAACTTCAGGGTTCTGCAGAGGTGTATTTCTTTTTAATAATTATTGTCCCCCCTATCTAACTACTATCTCTGAATACTGCCCTCAGTGCTGGACAGCTTGTTACATTTGGTTCAAAGTCTCACTTTTAAAGTGAATGGTTTTAATGTCATATCTCCCTTATCCAGTATTTACACTATTGATTTTTAAACTGATTTTGTAAATTTTTTTTCATGCCTACAGTGTTTTAAAGTGGGGATAGTATAAGTAAATGTCAAAATACTGAAATTTCAGGATAGCCACTTTTCTGAGAATATTTTTGCTTATCTTTAATACCTCATCTTATTTAATTATCCTAGCCTAGAGGTCACAATTATTCCCAGCTTTTACAGAGGAAGATGGCTTCAAGGAGATGAGGAATGTGTCCTCTAATTGTGAGCTTTTTAAAGCCAGTGGGCTTGTTTTAGAGGGCACCACTGAAGCATGGCAAAGAACTTGGTCAGTATTGATGTACTCGTAACTAGTGAGTTTGTTATCCTTTCCACCATTTTATCAGCTGCAAATCTGTATGAGCTTGTCTTGTCTACTTTGCCTAAGTCACTGCTGGAGACTTTCCTCTCAGGAAACATAAGTGGTCTTCATTCTGACTAGGTATCATTATTCAGCCTTGTCGAAATCTAGCTAATCAACTAGATTGTCAGAACAGATTTCCTAAGAATGTATTCAAGAATCCTAGAGTTCTCTCTGTATTCCCTTTATCTGCCAATTGGTAAACTTCTCAAAAAAAAGGAAGTGAAGTTGGTGAGACATAACTTGTTTTTATGATATGATATGACCTATCTATATGAAATTACTTGCTTCACAATTATAAATCTCTGCTCTTAGAAGAGACATACTAAACGAACTTTGAATTTATGAACATCTTGGAACGGAATTTTATTGTCTGAATTTTGGACAAAATTTCAACGTAAACACACGTCTGGATTGATTTAAAATTTTCAAAACTACTGTTGACTCGATGGTTTTTGTCAAAAACCATCGAGTCAACGGTAGTTGCTGTTTTCTTTCTGAAAGATTATTTTGCAAACTTAATTTCCACAAGCCCTCATGGTGTAGTCACTTTTATCTCTCAGATGTTTGTTGTTTTTTAGGCAAAAATTATGTTTGATTTTGCAGATTTGGAAAAGGAAATAAGGGGGAAATGTCTATGTCACCATTTTTAGGTATATTTTATAATCGTTTATAATATAAAAGCTTTTTAGCCAATTAGATTATGCTGTTGACACATTGAGGGGTTAGGGTTAGTATGTGCTAGACATTGCTATATATGCACTTTACACGTTCTCTAATTTTGTATGAACTTTGAAAATAGGAAACATTTAAATAAATTTTCCATATCTCCCTTGTTTTTTGAAGTGACGATTTCTTTTTTTAAATGTCATTTTTTGTGAAACTTGTTACTACAACTTAGAACTTCACATTTAAACAATATTTGCATACCAGCTATGTGTAGAACATGATGTGAAGTGCGCTGAGAACTTGTGGCTAAATGATTCCTATGCTCAAGTGATTACCTGTGCTCAAGGAATTAATGATCCAACATGTGAAAATGGCACTGGGAAGCAAAGAGACATAACAATGGTGTGAAAGACCCAGAATGAAATACTTATGATTGGTATCATTCATTTTCTTAGTGATACAAGGAAACTGAGCTCTGTAGTAATGCTATTACCCTACTTATGTTGCTTAGATTGGCTTATCTTGGGAGTTACCAGGCATTGCTCATCCAGAAGATCAGGTGACTATTGACATCAGCCATGTCCTCGAGGCCTTTTGAAAGTCCACCTCCGTACAGACCTGATGAATTGTAAGTAAATACTTTTTTCAGGTTTTTCTTCCTTTCTAGAAAAATCTGTCACTTAATAGGTGAAATATAATTTCACCTATTAAGTGTTTGTTTGCTTTTAAAAATAAAGTGATACATATTTGTAAATTTGAACCAAAGGACATACAGTGAAAAGTGAGTTTCCATCTTATTCTTAACTGCCAGGATGATTTTTCTCTAGAGTGGCAGCCACTGTTTCATATTGCTAATGTTTGCTTCAATACATCCTAAACTTCTATTATCTCTTTTTTGTTTTTCACAAATGGTATCAAGCATTGCATAATGCTTTATTGAGATAAAGTTCATTTATCATCTAGTTCACCCATTTTGAATGGACAGTTCACTGGTTTTACTATATTGGTGGTCCTCAGATAATGTTGTTTTGTTCAAATGCTAATGAGGAATAAAAAATGTCTTTTAAAAATTATTTATTTATGCATACAAAAGCTGAGGTGTAGGCCAGAGGTGCAGGCAATAAGAGGATTCACCAGAGACAGAGTAGCGAACAGAACAGGTGAACTGACTGAAATACACTGCTGAGGGGAGCTGGAGGTGAGACCAGAGAGGTCTGCTGTGCCGTGTGGGTCACCTTCCTGGCCAGGGATCAAACCCAAGCTGTAGAAGCTGTGGATTGCTTCATAGTGCTGACACATAATCTGTAATCCCTTGCACCACCAGGGAGGCCTCAATAAAAAAATAACTTGACCAACATTGAACAAAACAATGTTATTCAAGAACTTGATTTTCTCTTAAAAAGCCTGTTTCTAAGATCCTATCAGTGACATTGAGAACTTAAGATATTCATCACCACAATGAATTATAGAAATTATCGTCCCTCCTCCCCTTGCCCAAAACCCCTGCACTCTCCATTTAACCATACCAGCTTACTTTCCGTTTCTAATTTGTTTGTTTCTGGATATTTCCTATAAGTACAATCATTCAGTACATAGTCTTACGTGACTGACTTTCAATTAGTGTAATGGTTTCCATGTTGTCAATTTTAGGAGTGTCCTGCCATTATATCAAACAAGAATCAAAACTGAGGCTTCTTGACTTCTTTAGTCATTGGGGGAACCTAACAACGCGTCCTTAAATTTAAAATTTTCAGACATTGTTAGGAATTTCCTCTTTCAGATAGCTTGTAGCTTTAATGCCTTGATAGCTGTAGTAGGGGTTGTGTTCCTATTATGTACTATCTGAATTTGGTAGAGACAGTTGTTTATGACAAGTTGGCTTCTAAATTTATACAAGTAGTAGTAGTTAGGCAATGCTCTATTAACCTGGTATTAATTTTGTGTTGCTTTCGTAAACAGTGGTGAAATGTGATATAGAAAAGGGTATAGAATGGGGCCCTCTCTGGTTGCAGAACAGGTTTGGACACAGCACTGCCAGCTGGCCATGTTCACTTCAGTGGGCGTTTGATCCCTGGCTCCAGAGGTGACCCACATGGCACGGCAGATCTCTCTTGCCTCGCCCTCTTCTGCTCTCAGCAGTGTACTTTGTTGATCTACCTGTTCTGCTCCCCACTCTGTTTCTGGTGAATCCTCTCACTGGCCCTGCACTTCTGACCTGTACCCCAGTTCTGTATGCATAAAGAAATAAATCTTAAAAAAAAAAAAGAAAATACAGAATGTATATATGAGATGATGAAGAAAGACAAAGTAAAACCATCACCTAGGTTTAAAAGAATCAACATTTCAAGTATCACCTGGGCCTTCTTTTCCTGTGAATCACTTCGATAACATACTGTCATTACTCACTTTTCTCTATCTTACCACATCTGAGCAGTGGTCTATTTTTACTTGTTTTTAAACTTTATATGACCATACCATGTGTGTGTACTTTTCTGTCTTACTTCTTTCAACATTACTTCTGACACTTACCCACATTGCACTTCATTTTTTTTTTTTTTTAAAGATTTATTTATTTATTCATACAGAACTGGGGTACAGGCCAGAGGCTCAGGGACGGTGAGAGGCTTCACCAGAGACAGAGTGGGGAGCAGAACAGGCAGATCAACGAAGTACACTGCTGAGGGGAGCAGCAGGCGGGTCAGGAGAGGCCTGCCGCGCCATGTGGGTTATCTCCCTGGCTGGGATGAAAGTCATTCTGTAGTGGCTGCAATAGCTTAATAGTGTTGTGCTTTAACCCATTGCACCACCAGGGAGGGCCTTTTGTCTTTATTTTTTGAAGAAGTTGTAGTGTCATAGTAATTGAGGAAAGAGACAGAGATTTCCAAATGCCCCCTGCCCTCACACATGCATTGTCTCTCTGCTTATCACTGTCCCCCACCACAATAGTTGACCCTATTTAACATTATTCATACATCATACATATTTAACAATAGGGGTTTTCTCTTTGTGGTGGTACATTGTTGTTGTTTTTTTCTTCCCTGTGATGGCTCTATACTTTATACTGAACAATTCATCCTAGTTTGGCCCACCCACATTGCAAATGCTCAGTAGATCCATGTGGCTAGTGGCCACTATATTAGACAGCCTAGGTCTGTAGTATTCTACTATGCAGATAGAGCACAGTTACTGTTCCACTGTGGATAATATTTGTATTATTCCCAGTTTTGCTTTATCATAAACAAGGCTGCTCTGAACATCATATTGTTGGTGGAAGTAGGTGTGATACAGTCATTTTGGAGAACAGTTTGATGTCTGATAGATTTGAAGATACCAAAAAAAAAAAAAAAAAAAGTGACCCAGGAATTACATTCCTGGTTATAAACCCTAAAAATATAAGTGCTTGTGTGTACCAGAATGCATGTTCATGTATGTTCAAAACTAGTCTCTTCAGGGCATCTCCAAAAGGAGAGAGCCCACATATGCAAGTAGGATGAACGGGCTGTAGAATTTTCATACTTCATATTTTCAAACACCAGCTTAACATTCTCTTTGGTTTCTTTTTCATTCTCATTCTCATATACCTTGGTAATTTCTTTGAATTCACATGGTTAGCACCCAGTAGTAAGTTACCTTTCCTTTTTTTTCTCCCTAATTATGTTTATTGAGGTACAGTTGGCTTATGTCATTGTATCTGCTTTGGGGGTTATAGGTTCAAACCTCTGTATGTTTTCACACCATGCCTACCACTAGTGTCCCAGTAATCCGCTACATATTCCTCTGGGTCCCTCCTTCCTCACTTCTATCTCACCCCCTCTCCCTCTCTGGTTGCTTTAGTTTTGTAGTTAGATCATACGAGTTTACTATTAGTTTGGTTTTATCTGAAGATGTCTTACTTTAAAAGCAAAAGCACTGGGGTTAGTTTAGGAATTAAATTTTGCGTCCTCAAGCCTAAATTTCTTACATTCAGTGTGTCTGTTGCATGCAATGTACTTACAACTTAACTACTGAGTTCATCAGGTATCCTTGTAAAGGAGATTCAAGATTTATTTTGGTGATATCATACTGAAAAACCCTTGTGTATTTGATTTATTTTATAACTTTCACCATAAAGAATTCAAAATCATGTTGGGATTTGGTTGATGTGTTACTATTCTGACAGAAACCACACTCTGTGGGACCTGGACTGTGGCTCTGTTCATTGTTGTGTCCCCAGTGAACCTAGGCCTGACAGCTGTAGTAAACAGCTCTCACATGAAGAATCGATGTGCTTTGTTAGATAGGAGAGTGAGGTTGCCAGGAATTGATCACAGCTATGGGTAGGCCAATATAGGTGTCATATTTGAATGCACGAGTCTCAAGTCACACAGGCAGAAAGATACCATTCTTAGATACTATTGTTCTAATCTGCTTGGGTTCCATCCTCAGGGATTTTGATTATATTGATAAGGAGTGCTCCATCTGGGGAATTGGATATGTTTTCTCAGTTCATTCTAATATGCAGTGAGACTTGGGAACCTCTACTCCATAGAAACTAGAGCAGTCATTCTCAGTGGACAGTTCCCAGAGCAGAAGCAGCAGCAACAGCCTCATCTGGAAACTGATCTGAATAAGCAAAAACTGAAGGAATAAGCAACTCAGGGAAAACGATGTCTGTTTTTACATACCCTTCAAGTAATTCTGATAAACTGGTAACTTGTTCAGTGAGTGTTGGAATCAGTTTGGATTACTACAGCAAAGTACCGTGGACAGAATAGTCGATTTCTCACATTTTTGGAGGCTGAAAATCCAAATCATGGTGAGGTTCTGGTGGTCACCTTTTTTGGGTTTAGGTCCTCTGTAAAAGAGATAATAAGTTCTCTGGCCTCTTTTGTGAGGACCCATTCATGAGATGTTACCCTTATGACCTAGTTACCTCTCAAAGGTCTCATTCCAAATAACCATCATATTGGGGTTGGAATTTCAATATTTAAACTTTTTTGGGGGTGGAGGTCACAAGCAAAGGAGTACTACTGAGAAGTTTCATTTACAATAGTTGGTTTAAATTAGTTCCAGTACTTTGTACATTCTGTCTGTTTACTACCCAAAAGTGCTAACTTGCAATTGTTTTCATATGTATTTCAGCAAACCCAGTCATTATGCTCCAAGCAATGACATATATAATGGAGAGATGCACGCTCGGCCAATGCTCTCTCAGCCAGCATATTCCTTCTACCCAGAGGATGAAATTCTTCACTTCTACAAATGGACCTCACCCCCGGGAGTGATTCGGATTCTGTCGATGCTCATTATTGTCATGTGCATTGCCATATTTGCTTGTGTAGCCTCCACACTTGCCTGGGATAGAGGCTATGGAGCTGGCATACTGGGAGGGAGCATAGGCTACCCATATGGAAGTGGCTTTGGCAGCTATGGAAGTGGCTATGGCTATGGTTATGGCTACGGCTACGGCTATGGAGGAAGTTATACAGACCCAAGAGCGGCTAAGGGCTTCCTGCTGAGCATGGCTGCCTTCTGTTTTATTGCTGCATTGGTAATATTTGTTACCAGCGTCATAAGATCGGAAATATCTAGAACAAGAAGATATTACTTAACGGTGATAATCATCAGTGCTATCCTGGGCATCATGGTGTTTATTGCCACCATTGTCTATATAATGGGAGTCAACCCCACTGCCCAAGCTTCCGGATCTATGTACAGCTCACAAATATATGCCCTCTGCAACCAGTTCTATACACCTACAGCTACAGGACTCTATGTGGACCAGTATTTGTATCACTACTGTGTGGTGGATCCCCAGGAGGTATGAGTAATTTTGTTTATTTTCCTCCCTTTTTCCCTTCAGGTCCAAGATTATCAATTTGGGATCACTTTGGAGCCTTGAAAAAGTTACTAAGGCCCACGGTTACTTAAATCAGAATTGGGGACAGGGGCCAGGTGTCATTAAATATACCATATGATTCATCCATTTAAATAATAGTTCAGTGCTTTTAAATATATTTACAGAGTTGTACAACTTTTATTTACCACAGTCAATTTTATAACCTTTTACAAACACCAAAAGAAACTCCCTAACTACTAGCAATGTCTCTTCCTATCCCAAACCCTCCCTAGGCCTAGGTAACTACTAATCCTATTCTATAGATTTGCCTATTCTGGATATTTCATAAAAATGGAATCACACAATATGTGATTTTTTATTATTTGGCTTCTTATCATTGTCATTTTTAAGGTTCATTCATGGTATGGCATATATTGTTTGGATATACCACTTTTTAATTATCCAGTGATCAGTTGATGTATACTTGGGTGATTTGCACATGGTTGTTAAGAATAATCTCTATATTTGTATACAAGTTTTTGGGTGCACTTAGTTTAATATCTCTTGAGTATATATCAAGAGGTAGATTGCTGGGTCCTATGGTGATTGTGTTTAATCTTTTGAAGAATTACAAGATTGCTTTCCCACAAAGATTTGCATCATTTTCCAGTTACCAGAAATGTATGACAATTTCAATTTCTCCATATCTTCACAAGTATTACATTTGATTCTAGATATGCTAGTTGTTCTGAAGTGGTATTTTAATACTGATTTTATTTCCTTGATAGCTAATGATGTTGAGTATACTACTTTGTGCTTATTGGCCATTAGTATATTTTCTTTGGTGAAATGGTTAGAGTCGGCCCATTTTTTAATTGGGCTATTTGTATTTTGATTATTATGTCATAAGAATTCTTTATCTAATACATACAGTTTGCAAATGTTTTTGTTTTCTCTCCACTTTGTCATTCTCTTTTCATTTTCTGAATGTTTGTATAGATTTTTAATTTTGATGAGGTCTGATTTATTTTTTTTTTTGATTTTTGGTGATGAGTTCTAATTTCACTTTCTTTTGTTGCTTGTGCTTTTTTTTTTTTGTCATGTCTACGGACATTTTGTGTATTCAAGGTCACAATGATTTAGTCCTGTTTCCTTCTAGAGTTTTATAATTTTAGCTCTAGTTAGGTCTACAGTTAGATCTGTGGTTAATTTGAGTTCATATTGGACTTAGCATAAGAAAGGGGTCCAACAGTTTTGCATATATATACCCAGTTATCTTGGTACCATTGGATAAAAGGACTGTTTCTCCAGTTAGTTGTCTTCATATGTTTCTCAATCATGAATTAATTATAAATGTGAGGATTGATTTCTAGATTTCAATATGATTCCATTATATATATTTCTGTTCTTAAGTTACTACCACACAGTCTTGATTAATGTAGATTTTTAATAAGTTCTGAAGTTGGAAGAAGGGAATCCTCCAACTTAATTTTCTTCTTAGATTGTTTTAGCTAGATTTGGAGTTGGCATTTTCAGATCATGTTAGGATCGCCTTGTTGATCCGTTTCTGCAAAAGAGCAAGCTAGGGTTTTGAAGGATTGCCTTGAAACCTATAAGATCAATTTGCGGAGTATTGTCATCTTTATAATAAGTCTCCTGGTCCATGAACAGGGGATGTCTTTCCATTTATTTAGGTCTTTTAAAGTGTTTTGTAATCTTCAGAGTATAAAAAGTCTCCAGGTGATTCAGATGTGCAGGTGCTTTGGGAGCTCACCATTAGGGTATGTGTCACCCTCATAAATTAGGAAAATGTTTCTGGGTCATTAATCTTTCTTGTTTTTTCATTCCTTACACTGAGTCAGGAATTCCCATTCTTTTACCTGAATGAGTCATTCTTTGGGATTAGACCTCCTATAATAACTACTGTTATTATGAAGGTTGAAATGTATTTTCCTCAAATGTAGATTTTCAGAATGTTGACAGTCAGAGGTACTGTTATCAATAAGGCTGAGAGTTTGTGTTCCTCTCCTATCACACTCACATCTTCTGGACACCCAAAACCTGTGTTCTTTGGGAAAGGTTATTATGCAAAGTGAGATTCCCAACACCCATTAGCAGACATCCAGGGCAGAGACTGGGTACTGGCCTCAATTCCAAGTGCCTGGAAGTGAGTGTATCACTTAATATACCTGGGAGGCACTGGGAAGGCTTGACCAGGACCCTAGCTAGTCAGTACAAAAAAAGATTTCTAAAATAGGGAAACCTGCCATAATAAATGGCTCATTATTCCCTTCTTTTCTAATTTATAGCTCAGTTAGATCAATCTGTATGATTTACAGTAAAGTAGATCCTTTTTAGACTGAAAATGCCATTCAGTATAAAACATTTGCCAAAGCACGTGTTAAGAACAAAATTATTAACATAACTGGATTTAAAAAGCTACTTTTAAGAGCATTATACAGCCTTTCAGAAGTATCAGTTAATTCACTGGCCATTACTATCTTTTTTATTAAAATGTGGCCCAGTGATGCTCAAGGTTTGAAACTAATTTTCTGCAGTTCTAAGGTGGTGTGGTGGGCGGGTAATACCTAACCTTAAACATGTTCTGAGGAATAAAGTGCGCACGCATGCGTGTGTGTGTGTGTGTGTGTGTTGTTAGCTTTAGCCTAAGTGGCGTGGATTACACTTCATATTATCTCCTTTCCCCTCTTATTCCTAAAATATAACCGTTTGCATCAGTTTTATATCAGTTAACCACAGCTGTTTAGTAGGTTCTAAGGTAGATAAGGATTTGAATAATTATTAGAAGGTGGATTGGGATAAAGTAAGTAACCAAAATCTCATCATGTTAATAACTTTCATTTCTTTCTAGGCCATTGCCATTGTCCTGGGGTTCATGGTTATTGTGGCTTTTGCTTTAATAATTTTCTTTGCTGTAAGAACCCGAGGAAAGATGGACCGCTATGACAAGTCAAATATTTTGTGGGACAAGGAACATACTTACGATGAGCAGCCTCCTGATGTTGAAGAGTGGGTAAGTGTAAAAAAAATAGCAAACCCCTAGTCATTTATTAAATCCCCAGGGTTCTTTCTTTGAACTTGACTTTTAGTGCATCCTGATTAGCATTACAATTTGCATATGTTGCAAAAGTGGTGCTGCAGTTTTTATTCAGGATCTTAAGAAAGTAGGGTAAGTACAAAATGTTTTACTGCAAGGTAAAATCAGATCTCCATTTGTAAGAAGTGAGTCTAGAGTCATGTGGAAAGACAGAACTGGGCCTATGAAAAACAAAATTTTCCCCTGCTGCCCTTATTTTTCTCCTTATAATTTTGGAGGGTATAACTATAGCTCAGGATGTTTGCTGTCTTGGGTCAAGATGGGCAAGAGTATTTTGGAGTTAACAGGTGGCAAACCTTTAAACTTTTTATCTGGATAGTACCCTGACAAAGCACATGAATAATTCTAAGCTATTTGTCAGTGGTGACTACTCTGATGAGGCAGAGAGAGAGAGATTAGAACAGTTTCCTTTTATGTATATACCGTCATTAATCCTATCACGGTATATACATCACGGGGGGGCTTCCTTTACAGTAGGATTTGCTGAGAGCCCAGAAAGTCCTGCTCTCCAGACATGTCCCCCAGATGTCTGTTACTGATGCCTTATCTACCTGTAGGGATATTTGGAGTGAACCTGTTTCTTGGAAATCATCTGTTAGGATTCTCTTAAAAGCAACCTCAGCAACTGCCAGCATAGCTTTCTTTGAGAAGATTGATTTCTTGCCATGACAGTTAATTAAGCCTTCTGGACACTGGTTTCAGGGTAGGTTTGTCTTGGTGAATGTCATGGAGAGGATTGGCAGGGGTAGGGGTGGATATCACCGCTGATCAGATCAGGGGTAAAGCTATACCTCACTCTGGTGGGCCCTTAGTCCTACTTGTTCTATACATCTTGAGTGTTCAAGAAATCTAGAAATAGTAGATGAATTTCCTTTTAGTTAAGCAGAAATGAAGTCTCTTAGGAAATCAGAAGGTGCGGGTATGCATGCACCACTGGAATGTCGGTTCCTCCCTGTGCTCCAAGCCTGCTTGTTCTTTTTTTCCCCTCCATAAAGCATGAAGGTGTTAAGGAGTGTTTTCTTTTGACCTTTAGCTCCAGGCAAGGCCACCTGTAGATGGAATAGGACAGTCTGTTGTGAACTATGAAGTAAATGTTTCGATGAGAGTTTCTGGGTGTGTCAGTTTTCACTGGCTGTTGGGTTTGTTTACTTATGGTTTCGAGAGCCCTTAAAAAAAAGAAAGAGAGACTAGTACTGTTGTAGTAGAGTCCAGTGAACTTTGGTTTCTTATTTGCTTTTACTGTCATGTAGGTTTAATCAGTTCTAGGTGCTTTTGATAATTTTGTAGAAGACAGTCATAAGTACTTCTGAGGGAGATGATACTGAAGCTGACCAGCGTTAGCTTTTAAAAAGGCATGGTGTCTATTATGCTTTCTCATTGAATCTCTGGGAATTTGATGCTACCCTATTGGTTATTTATGTGAACCTCTTAGATTCTCCATATTAATTAATTAATATATTTGTTACATGAAATGTAGTCATCTGTTGAATAGAAAGTGTTTGATTTTTGAGTGCAGGTATGTTTAATAATTGATCACTTGAAATTCTTTTTTTTTTT